GAGTGCAGCTCTTGATATTGATGTTGGTGCCATTTTTGCTGTTCTTCAAATATTTGTTTCTGGTTTTCAAGATATTCAGCCTATTGCTTTCTTGATTCTTCAACCATGTATGCCTTCAAGTTATTGTATAGACCAGATACATACTACCTTTGTGTATTGATCATCTCTTCCATATGTTGTTTTGTTACATAGTTACAGTCAATAGAAGCATAATTAGGCTCCACTCCAGCTGAAGTGTTAGTTCTAGAAGTATCAACATCATCAGCATTAATTGTTTGCTGCATACGATTGCTATGTGGAATTTGTGGTACAATGTTGTCGAGTTCTCCAGTGACAATTCCGTCTAATATAGTGTGTTTATTGTCCAATGGTAACAATAGAGTTGTGTAACACATTGTCTACAATTCTTCTTCTATTGATTGTAATGCTGCAAGGACTCGGCTTCCATTTATGCATTCTTGGAATTGGTAATGTCTTGTATATCCGGTGTCCGAATTTCTTTCCAATCTTGGGAAATGTTTCGTATATCCAAAATTGCAACATGAAATTGAAACTAAATATTAGATATATACAACATTAAACTATACAATATATAAAAAATTAGTTAAAAAAGAAATACCTGAGAAGGAAGAGGATATCCATGTAGCAAAAATTTATACTCCCTTTTTTTCTCAGCTTGTTTCATTCTCTGTATTCTTTTGAGATGTGATTGTTGCAATGAATTCAACAGAACAACGTATGCCTTTCGGCCTCATGGATACAAAAGAAAATCATCAAGCTGCTCAACCATACCCTGCAATCTGTCATCAATGTGTCTTTCAGTTGGTTTGAGAACACACTCTATCAACATAACCAATAGAAGTTTCAATTATCTTTTCGATCTTCACATGAATTGAAGGCATCATGGAGCATTATCATAGAAATCCTTTTCACACCATAGAAATACTCGTTTTTGAGCCGAGGATTACTATGGTCAAGATTAACAGATGGTTCGTGGCAAGATAATCCAGTAATTAAGAAAAATTCTTGCATTCCAAAACTGGCAAGATGGTCATCAAATCTTACCCACACTTCACTGTTTTTACCAGAATTCACAGTCCTCATTATGAATTCATGTATCAACTTATTACTAAATTGTTGCTCTTCGTCTCTATATATAAATTCATATATAAATCCATGAAAATTACTACACATTAGTGAAGATTGTTCATCTGATTGTAACAATTGTATTAAATCTCTAACGTAGTAATGATTTGGATATTGACTAATAGTAGCACAGAACCCTAGGTCTAGAGACAAGATATAATCTAGAGACATCTGCATCAAATAATAAAACTTATTTACAGACTAATTTTTGGAGAAAATGTGGTTACAAATAAAAATTAAAACATATCTTACACAAATATTTTCCACTTTATCCACATAACTAATTAATAAACAAAAATTTAGTTCGATAAAACAATGTACTCAAGAGCATATCCTAATAGACAATAACAAAGTGAATACTTCAAAGTATGGTTCTAGAGAATCATATCACATGAAGGATTTCTGCTGTTGGGAAATTTAAAGAATCAAAAAGCCAAAAACATGTCAAGGTTTATTAAACCAAGCAATCAATGCACCCAGCAACAAATATACTCAACAAACACACACCATTGATTTTTTAAAATAAAAGAAGGCACTATCACAGTATATTCTTGAACTCCAAAAATTAGCAATTAAAATTAAGTATTTCAAAAACAATCCTGTAGACCGATATTCTAGTTGTATGTATCCATGGAGTATATTCATTTTGTTTCTGAAATCAATCAAACACAACAAAAATTGGTAAAAAGATAACATTTAACTTTTCAAATACATCAAAGTAGATCAGAAGTAATCCAAAACAATTTTCACAACAGCAAAGAAGAAAAACAAATTAAGTATAACAAAAAGAAAATCCACAAAAAAGAAAGATTGCAAATCCTAAACAATTACCTAGTAATTTTTTTTCTGAAATTGATTTAAGATTTTGCTAAAGATGAAAAATCCAGCTAAAAGAAAACTCCAATTTAAAATGTAGAGAAATGGATGGTTTGCACTCATACAAACTTTTATTCACGTGAATAGTTTAGACTAACTTTTTGGCATTTTCCAAAAAAGAAAAAAGAATCACGTGAATTCTTGTTGAATTGTTGCCATGTAAAACAATTTTTAATACACAAAGTAGTAATAATAATTGGTTTGCTTAAACTCATTTACTATTTCATTTAATTTTTCGCCAACCAACCAACTTGGTTGGTTAAGTATATATTTTTTACCTTACAGAATTTTTTTTAAAAATAATCATTAATAATAATTATTAAGCTAATAAAAATAACTAAAAAAAGTATTCAAATCAAATTTCTCAAAAATTAGTAGCAAAAAAGTAAACAAAATGCATTTGAATCAATTTAGTCTGATTTACTAATTTAATGATTTAAACGAAAAAAAATACAAATGCTGTGCGGTGCAAAGTCTCCGCACAATTCGTGCGGAATCCGCACGTTTTGCGGAGTGTATCTCCGCATACCATGACCTTTTTTTTTTTCTTTTTTTTTCCCTGTTGAGTTATGCAACTAATATTTGTTTACTTTGTTATTTTATTAGTTAAAATTATACATTAAATCTAATAAAAAACATAATTAAAGAATAAGTTTAACTTCAATATAATACCAAAAAAAACTCTCAAAAATAAAAAGGAAAGAATCATTGCTAAACAACAAAAGAATCTAACAAAAGCATCTAAACATAATGAAGACAAAAAATAAAAAAGTAAAACATTTGAAGAAGAAAAGGAACAATAAAAGGAAACTGCCAAAAATTAACAACAATTATTGTTCAAATGTGAAATGTATTATTGATTACACCAAACATACAATAGCTGAAATGTAAAAGCTTTTGTAGTTGGCTTTTTCCAAAAACACTCACGTATTGTTGAATCATTTACTATTTCATCTAATTCTTCACCAAATTGGCAGGTTAAGAGTATAGATTTATTGTTTGGTGTTGAAAATTTTTTAAATAATATAATAATTCTTCTTGTTATACTAATAAAATTACAATAAAATTTTTAAAGTTGATTTAGCATAAAAAAGTAAAATCAATTTCATTTTCAACAAAAAAATACATTTAAAAATTACAATGAGCAATTTCATAACCACATTTTTTATTATTATCCCCAAAATACAAAATTGTAAGTTTTCTTTTACTCATGTTTCCACAATTTTAAATTGCCTTTTTCACTCATTTTTATTTTACTTTTTATAGTATGTACCTTTAAGATTCAGTGGAAAACATCTACCCAAAATTTATATGAAGTGTTCGAATCCAGGACTCGTGTTTGAGCATTTGAGATGCTATAACAAACTCCTAATTTTCATGGTTCACAAATTATGCGATGATTAATCCATTACTTCTCTGTATTTACTGTTATTTTTGTAATAAACATTGTGCCCAATCTTCAATTTTTCAATGCAAGTATTTTCCAACTTATTTGAACTTACACAAGATTTAGAAATATAATCTTCAGCGTCAACTCAATTATATCAACATTGAATGTCAACAATACAAGCAAAATAGTTTGTATAATCTTATATATTTCTTATTCAAGCATATTTTTTCTAGTTGGGACAAAATACTGTTATGCAATTGTAAAAATAATCTACAATTATTTTCTTATATTTCTAGATGTTTCTTTAAAAACATTCCAAAAAATGAAAATTCACTCATTAATAAAAATACGATAAATACAAAATTCGTGTAACATACGTGACAGTGACTATATTATTTATTAGATTACATGCCTTTCATTTATTGGCTTTGAAGTGACATGTTGAACACTTGTCAATGTACAACCTAATAATGATTTTTTAGCTAGCATAGATGGGGGAATGATTACGCTCCGTAGCAGAGGATAAGGTTTGCGAAGTGTATTTATTGATTTAACACCTATCTAAGTCAAGGAAAATTTATTTATAGGAGTATCCCTCTTTTGACATTTTAATAAATTATAAGATGCTATAGATTCTAATGAATTTCATGAATTTGAATATGTTTCCACATAATCTATAAAATCTCATTAAATGTGATAAAATTTCAAAAGAATTGATTATTTGTATTTTGAAGTTAGAAATCCATTCTAATATTTTAAAATCCTTTTATAAATGAAATTCTTATAAATCCATGAATTATTGGGGATACAAATATTTTGAAGGATTTCATTGACATCCGTCAAAATCTCAGTTATGGAGACCTAGATTTTATTATCTCAATTAAAGACACTTGATTTTAAAATAACTTTTAAAATTCATTAAAATCTCATATGACAACACTCTTATTAATTAAAGAGATTAAACTAATGGTGTATGCTGGGATACTTGGATATGAAAAAAAAATAAAAAATAAAAAAGATTAAAGTAAGAATAATGTCATCTATCAACAGCGGTGTTAGAGTATTTATTTAGGTGGCCACACTTGACTTTATAACTCCAATTAAATGGACCATTTGACTTCGCATGTAAATGAGTATATTTTTTAATATCATTTAGTTGCGTGTTATTACTTTTCAAATTTTGGAAGGTAGACATTAGCAACTTGGCTAACCAACCAAGACATTAACGTTTGAATGCCTTGAATTACAATTTCAAGGTTGTTTGGAATCCATTAAAATCAAATTTTGGGGAAAAATGTTGTTTCAAATAGTGATTTTTTGAAAAATATATGGTTAAAAATGAAGAAAAAGTTTTTTGAATTCGTTTAGCAACAATTTATTAATAACAAAGGGAATAGCTTTATAAAATCGAAGAATTTATACTAATATTTCCACACGCTAATAACATAAGAAATCTGATCATGAAGATCCTTGAATGTTCTTTTTTACATTTTAGAATAAAAATTCTCAAATTTCTACAACTAATATATTTAAAAAGCGTATAAACTCACATATAAACACATATACGTTTATTAGAAATCTTTAATAAATAATATCAATATTTCACTAATTTATTTATTAACAAAAGTTAAAGTTTTGCACCATAAAGGTATATAAAGTATGCATCAAGTGTAAACACAAAGGTTTCCCCAGGTGATTACAAAGAAAGTCATGCAATTGACAAGCTTTATCTGGGGAGGAACTCTAGAGCTCATCTCTAAGGCTTCCACGGTGGGGGTGGCGGTGGGCTGACGGGATACATCGGCGGCACGGCCGAGAAAATTGTATTCTTATCTATTCCATGACCACCACTACTTGTTAGAGACACTAGTGCAGCAACCAACCCTGCATTTCCAGCCAATGTAGGCTCAGTATAGCTATAGTTTGTTCTTACATCCTTAAATTTATCGAACTTATCGGGACCTCCAACCATGGCACCAGTAATGATGTTAGGATTGGGATTTTTAGCATCGCGCCACCTCCATCCACCCGTGCAGGAATATTTCACGTTATTTTTAGGTATTGATGCTCCACGGTGATGAACATGCTTTGGATATTTGGATCCATGTCCGACTACATAGCTCATACTCATCGGGTTAGCTCCAAGTATGTAATTGATCTGCTTGTGCAGTGAGAGTAATATAGATTAGAAGAACTTAAAAATGTAAATTATCATGTGACTGCAGGATATAAAAATTAAAAGCAAGGCCAAGTATGTTAAAGTTTCATATTTAAGCCCGAATGGAAATCAGATTTTTCACTACCCGAAAATAGGCTTTCTAACCATTAAAAAGTTCAATGGATTGAAACTTGGACCATTCTGATTGATTCGATCGAAAAACTTGGAATAAGCAATTGGGACTGTTGGGTTTTGATACCCAATAAATCTGGGTAATAATTTAAAACAGTTGTCGGATAATTTATCAACACCATGAACTTGACTCGACTCGGAACAACCTATACTTTTGGATGGCCCAAGTTTGGTTGAATGGTTTTTTGATTGTGTGGTCCATTTATTTGTAATTAAGTGGTAGCCCATTTGTAGAGAAGACTGTGACCTAATGTCTTGCTATATATATGTTTTGTTCCTAGCCGTGTCTTTGTGTATGTGTAATATGCAAGAGAGAAAACAAGAGAAGAAAGGAGAGAGGCAGCCAGCTTTCTTTGGAGTGAGAGAGCTTGGAGTGTTTATTGGTGTCTTCCTTCATCTTTCTCCTTCCTTTGGGGAGTGCGTATACCACCATCATATTCTCCTTTGTGGAGTGAAACTTGGGCAACCAAATGTAGAAGTTTTGGGTTGAGCCGAGGTAAACTAATGTTCGTTTGGTTGTTTTCTGAGTTCGGAATCAAGATTTCTCGAGAAATTTTCACGACATGGACAATAGCAAGCAACCAAGAAGTGTATGAGCCGATCAAGGTTGAACATGTCTCTCATTTGCCTTTTTATTAATGTGGGTTGAGTTTAACATTTTGAAGAGTCCTTCTCCAAAGTAATTAAGTGTAGATGTATAATTTTTCACCAACACGTTCAATTTAGATAAGAATGGTGGGATAATACCTGAGAAATGGCAAATTTTCTAAGATCATTGAGAGTGATAAATCTCGGACCACAAGTCATCCCTGGAACTCCAGTAGCATTCATATAATCAACATAGAGAGATGTCAAGAAGGCTGCATTTGCCACATACTGTAAAGGTTGTCCTTGTCCATGATTGAGTTGAATCAACCCACCTACACATTTCAAGGCCCAAAAAAAAGGTTTTTCGTTCTTAACATACCAAACACATCATATAAATTTCGAATATCATTAATACTCGTGAGAAGTGGTGTCCCTAATTATTTCGACTCCCAACATCAATCATACGATAATAGAAGATTCTTACCTCGAGTCCAGTTGAAAACATTGAATGTTTGAAGGTAAGAACACATAGTAAGTCCAGTCACATTGTGATAACTCTTCAACATATCCTCGTACGGGTATCCAGGGCTCAAAAACATTCTTATCCTTGTCAACAACAACATGGCAGCAGGCAACTTGTTGTCCCAACTTAAGACACTCAAATCTGGTATCATATAAAATGCTTTCGAATTCTTAGATAAACCGGGATTTGTTGCCAGTGAAAAGTAAGTATTGTTTCCAGTGGCATAATATAACCAAGCTGCACCCCACATGTACTCATCAAAGTAACCACTGGAATTATAGAAGGGTTCTATAAAGGGATTTCCACGGCAATATGATGTTCTTTTGCCGAAGTCTCTGGCAAATTTGAACAATGTTTCTGCACCCTTGACAAGTTTCTTGGAGTACGCAGTATTATCCCGGAAAACTATGGATGCTGATGCCAATGCTGCTGCCATTTCTCCGGCAAGGTCCGGCCCTGAATTTGCTGTTTGAGTTTTCCTGGTGTAGTCCATGTCTTCTGGCCTTTGCCAACAGTAATGATCATCTGGTGTTTTTGAACCATTTTGTGATCCACCAACCTAGGTATCCATAAAATCGATATAATAATTATTATCTAAGTTTTATATACATATTCAAGATTTCCTTTTTTGGTACCATATAAGCCAATTAACTCAAGAATAATTAAATACACATACCTGGCTGTAAATTTTGTCTATTTTAGTAGCAGAAGAGTTGAAAGTAAGGAGTAAATAATCAGTGCCCCATTTGATTAGGTCTTTCATATGATCATATTCCCCGATAGCACGAAACTTGTGCTCATATTCAATAACACTCCAACTGAGCATAGTCATAGCAAATGACATAGGAAAGTGAAACTTTGTATTGTCTCCAGCATCATAATACCCTCCAACAAGCCCTCCTTTAACATCCGTTGCATCTGATCCATCTTGTAATCCTGAGTTCCCTCTCCAAGATATCCCATTGTTCTTTGGCAACTTCCCAGCTGAATTCATGTACCCACCAAGAAATTATTATCAGATCTATGAATTCATTATTATAAAAAATTATTACTTATAGAAGTAACCTCCTTATGAAAGAAAAACAAGCACAAACTTATATACTGAGGGAGGGTTCAATAACAAAATAAGTTTCTCCATAATAAAATTAGAGGGAACTATGTAAAATTTTTTGCATATATATTGCCCATTTTTCGATTTTTTCCCAAAATAATTCATGCTTTGTCTAGATAGTTGTAGGGATTTATTTTTATTTTATTTTATTTTATTATTATTATTTTTTTACAGTTCGAAAAGAGAAGACTAACTAAATTAATAATATATTGATTAGAAAACTATTATGAGATCATTCAAAAATAAAATGGTGAAATTACGTTAGTTCCTAATGATTGAACAGTTAATATTACCCAGCATTAATGATTAAAAAAGATAACAAATGTCACAAAATAAAAAATATATATTTGATTGGACCTAAATTATAAATCAGCAAAAATATAAATTTTGTTGCATATACAGAGCACGTCATCTTAAAGATAAATATCTTTTACTAATAAACAAGAAAAAATTGGATTTTTTTTTTTTTAAAAGAGAAAAGTATTCAAACATAGCTGAAAATAAAAGTTATTTAAAATAAATTGAAATACCTTCTGCGCTGGCACATTTTATATTCTCAAGTATAACTTCCCATAGACCCTCTAAATACAAGATGTTTACTACTATAAAGTATCAATGCTTAAAAATAAGTTTGAAAAAAAGACTTATCTTAAGTTTTAAAATAGAGTGTGCCAATATTTTTACATTATAATGAAATTATGTTAGATATTTCAATACTACGTTTCTTAAATTAGTTGAATCATATTTGAATTGATTAATAAACAATGTATAAAAGATATATGAGGAGAAATCAATAAATATTTTCTTGAAAAAAGAGCAAAATCGAGAGCCAACAAGGAGAACATTATTGAAATATATATAAATTTTTACTATCTAAATTTAAAAATGCTCTATATATATATTACTAGAAGGAATTAACTCAAACTTCGTTCTAGTTTTTTAATGAAACAAAATTAAATATGCATAAAATTTAAAAGAAATAGCTGTGTACACAAATCCTGATACTATGGATACATGATTTTTTCATGCTTATTGTCCAAAGGGGTAGGTGTAAGGAAGTATTTTGACTAGAATAAATAATTAATAAATAAAGTTGCCGGCATTAATAATTAAAGCTGAATTTGTCAACTACATTTAATTAATCAGCAAGTGGGAAAAAAAAATTAAAAATCATACACACAGCAATGAATTGAATCCCAGTTCATAGATAGACAAAAAAATATATATATAAAAAATAAAAATAAAAATTCAATATTTCTGATCTTTCTCTAAAATACATTTCTATTTTACTTATGCATTTATTTAGGTCGAATGAATTATTTTGACATTCTAAATTGAAATTAAATTACAGCCACAATCATAATTTATAATGATATAATTTTGGTTTGTCTAAAAAATTGATAAAAATTTAAGTCAAAGTTAATAATTAATTTTAATAACAAATGTCATAAAATCAACATCTTTTGTTAGTTTTTCTATCATAAATTTTGTCAACTTCTATCGAAATATACCAAAAATTTAATTTTTAGTCAAATCAAACGGGACTTAATAAAATTGGGAGTTGTTAAGAAAAATATTAATTAATGATTTTTGAGTGATAATGTCAATTTTAATTCCATCCACTGATTTAGACCACCTAACGAGTGGTATCAATCACACATCACATGCCAAAGACAATGTCTTTTTTCAGTTGTGAAATGATATAAAAAGACTAACACATATATGTTTTATGTTAATACTGGCGCATGTATTGCCTACTTCTAGTATTGACTTAATGGCCAGCAGTTCTCAAATCGCCTATGAATACAACTTAGCATAGTGGAATAAGAATAAAGAAAAATATAACTAATCACCTTTTTGACAATCTTTATTTTAAATTTTTCAGTCTACGTACTCATCACATATTCACACAATAAAATATTTTTTAAGTAAATTTAATTTTTTTTCATGTTTTTTAGTCACACATTTTCAAAAAACTCATTATTAAAACATTTCATTTTTGTCAAATAATGAGTTTCAACGGGCACTAATATTTTCACTTCACTATATTAAATCAATATTTTAAAAACCTATTCGAATCATAAATCTCAAGATCTAAAGGTTTACAGGTTAAAGAACTGAATCAAGGTCGAATCGATGGTAAATGATGAAAAATATATGAGATGAATGACATATTACGGGCTAACGATCCTTATTAGATGGTTACCAATTTTTGGATTTTTTATGATTAATATTATCTAGTATAAGGGGTTAATACTAGTCTATCACATGTTCGAAATATGGCCCATTAAATTGACAATATCATATGTTGACATCTAGTGTTAATACATGACAAACTTGTGTTAAATTCGCCCATACTAGATAACACTACTCTTTTTACCTAAAATTGGACAGATGCCAATTCAATCCCCAAATTGAATCTTTTGATTTGATTTATTGTATCACTCATGTTCAATTCAACGCACTAATTGTTAACATTAAAGGGTTTTTGAAGAAGATTTTGATAAAGGTTTTAGTAAATTTTGATAAAAATTGGTGATGAAAATGTGTAGTCAAAAAAGTTGATGAAATCAAATGTTGTTTATTCCTGAATAGTTTTGCTGGACGTGCCCCTGTCCGTCCAGGGCGCCAAATTGGCGACGCTGCGCCGAATGGAGGAAGTGCCGCCCAATAGGGGGGCGCCAATTAGGCGTCACAGGTCTTGTCCAACTAGCTTTATTCATTCCGTAAACTGTCTGGTTAAAAATAATTAATAACATTGAACTTAAATTTTCTAGTAACTTTTTAAGCTATCACAAATAAGGACTCAATTTATATGCATGCATCTTAGTCGAAATAGAATTCTACACACATCATCTTCACAATTATGATTGAGTATGACCGAATCAGAAAACGTGAACAACTAAACTAACCAAAACAATGAATTGCCCGATTCCATGAATCATGAATAAAGGTGTTTACACATAAAAATTCAGTCCAAATCGAACAGTCCAAGAAGTGAAGCTCAATTGAAAGATCCCCAAATCAGATAGCCCAAAGAACGAAGCCCAATCAAACAAATCAAGATGAAGGCCCAAACAGGGAGGCCCAAGAACGCGGTAACGCCATCGCCCAAATTTGCAAGTCGCCCAGAATCTGAGCGAATGGAGTGCCATACAGTCGTCCAGATCTGTTACTCTATTCTCGCCCAAACCTTCAAGTCGCCCAAGGTCTTAACAAACATAAAACGTCATAGTTATCAAGAAGTGCAGTTATTAAAGCAGCCCTATCACGTTCCACGATTCAAGGAATTCAATCGAAAGCGGTTGAACGATGAAGTGTAATGACAGCAGTTAAAAAATGCAGTTTTCATGACAAGTTGGCCATTACGAGGAAAGTGGGCAGTTATAGGACGATCAAGCAGTTTTTANGTAGTTGAATCGCCTCCATTGATTTCCAATGATCCTCCCCAGTGATTTGCCGAATACATTTTTTTTTTCAATTCGATTTTTTTTCTAAATTCACCAATAATATATCTGGATTATGGCCTGATAATAAATTCAGTCAGAAATTAAATGACAGGATTAGCTTAATGAAATATTAATCAGAAAAAGATAATTCAAATTCATGTAATTTAATTTAATGCATTTAATTAAACTCATAAACTCACCTGCAAGATATATAGTAAATGCAAACCGATCTTCAGAAGATTATGGGCTTAATCCACCATTCTCACCTTTCTCACTCTATATTTGTTCATGAACCATAACATGTTTATATAGGCTGTATGTATCTGTATGTAGATGATGATTTTTCGTGGAAAATTAATAAAGAGAAAGTTGACTTTGAATATATTTTTTTTTTCTTTTGACAGTTTGAGAAGGCGACTGAAAGCTGGATTGATACTGAAATGTGAATTCATTTGCTGCACCAGCTTGCATTTTGCTATTTATAAATTTAAAATTTGTTGTTTAATCTTTAATGGTAATTGAATGAAGACTTTTGGGAAGTTTAGAACTTTACTTGGTGACACCCTAACTTATTCAGTAGAAAAAAATAGGGGCGGTACCAGTTTACAAGAGTATAGGGTCGTATCGAAGTGTCTGGTTCGGTCTCATTTGCTTGAACAAAGCTACTCAAAAAGAGACATTTGACAGGATTAGGTGACAGTCGTTACGTGACAACAACTATTGGCTATTTTTTCCAATGAATATGTAACACCTGTTCCATGTTTTTAAATCCTGTCATTGACCATGTTTGTATATCAAGATTGCATTTGCTTTTAGATTTTAAACGAGTTTAAATAATACAAACAAGAAAGTTTTAATCTGGTTCTTGGTTCTCATATTCAAATCCAAAAATTCAAAATTAACCAAAACATTTATTTATTTATTTATTTATTTATTATTATTATTATTATTATTATTATTATTATTATTATTATTATTATTATTATTATTTAAATATTGAAGTTGGAATCACATGGAAGAATTACCCATTCTAAATTGCACATCATGATCACTTCTTTTGTAAGACGAATTAAATAATCTCGCTGAAATTCTAACGATATATTTTTCAAAGTTGCAAGATTTGATCTACTTATTCAAGAATTAAAGTGAGTTATCATTATCGTTGCTACATGATATAAATGAACTGAACTGAAACATCTATCTGTTTGGTTGTCTAATTACATTTGAGTCAATAGTTCAGGGACGGAGCTAGTAAATTCGTTTATTGCGGGCACAGTTTAATCGATGCCAAAGTTTGAGTTTTTAGTCATGGATATAATGATAAAAATGACATCGTTCATATATTACACTTATTCCTCACGAGTTTTCATGTTTTGATATCGTTTTACAATAACTTCATTATCAATATTAAAAAATATATCCTATTATAAAAATTGAATTCCTATGGTAGGATGTATTGCCTTTTTGTTTAAAAAAAAAATGAATATCTTATTGTTACATAGAAACTCTATCAATTTATAGATGTATCCTATCGAAGCTAGAAAGATAAAACTTCGATCAGTCATATTGCAGGTGCTTATTACTTTAATATTTACCATACTAATTCACCAATAATGGCGAGGAACCTTTCACTTATTCGTGCATAGATGAGTGACTGATAATGATGATGTTGGGAATCTACTTAAATATGCACAGCAGAAATTAAAATTATTTCGATTCCCACCGAGAATCCCTTTGTATTTAGATAGAAATCGTGATAAAGATTGTACCTTTGACGAATTCTGCAAACCTTTTACTTTTCTTTTCGTTTCAGCAATCTTGATTCGCCACCCACAGCTGTCTAATTGTCCAGCCTCCAACGATGATCCACACAGAGAATAAGATTGCAACTACTAGGGTTTTTCCTCTTGTGCCAGTAAGAATAATGAAAATCATATGAACCTCAAACTCTAGCCATGTATTTATATAAACCCAAACGGGCTCGGCTCTGTCTGGTCCAATATTTAATTAATCCAATTAATTAAACCCGGTCCGTAAATTAATTAATACAATTAATTAATTCGGGAATATAAATAACAAATCCAATTAATTAATTTATCCAACGATTGTTAAATTAACCAATTGACAATTTGCAATCTTCCAATTCTCTTTTGTGTGTGACCCATTAGGTTCCCGACCACGATGCCTAACGATGTGAAATATTATTTTGATCTAATCAAAATTGATAAATTAAAACACCCTTTTAATTTATCGTCAATTCACACTCGCCTTCCCTGATTGACATCTAGCAATGTGTCAGGGTAATACATGTGACGGGAAATGTCACGTGGTATGACAAAACCAAATTCGTTAGTTTACCATAAAACTATAATCCTTTCGTCAATATGATCCGATCAATTACGAGATATGAAATTGTGTCAATCTCGATCATCGATCATATCTTCCACTCCACTATTAAGTCAATATAAGTTGAAAACCCCTTTTCGACTTATGAGTACACCTTGGCCAAGTATTTCATCATCGACTTAATTGAATGAAACGCAGATCATAATCTCGTACTATTTAAGAGTGAAGAATCCTTTATTGATCAATCACAACCTTCATACGATTCTTGACGTACCCGAACGATGTTGTATTAGCGACCCTTTTCCGAGCAACATCCAACACCGCCAAAGTATGACTCTCCTCATATAAGGTACCATGACGACCTCAAGTCAAAGGACCAATTTCACTATCGAACGTTAGAGATTAACCACTGACACTCAGATAGTTATCCATGTGGAATCTCTCGACGGGTCTCCAATATTCTGTTCTATAACAAAACATCCACGTGTTCATTTAAGTGTCACCATACTTTAGCTTGTGAGATCAGCTACTTACTTCACAAGTAAGAAATGCCACACGTGATGATCTATCCGTAATAACGATATCCGTATCTCGTTATTACTTACGACCACGGATGATTTAAGATTCAATCAGATATAATTTGTATCTCACAATCACAACTCCTTGTGATTAACAAATTACAAAGATTTGAATCTACGGACTCTATTATTTATTTAATTGTTTATTAATTAAATAATAGATCTGCCATTAAATTGCATTAATTATATATCAAAAGTATTTATGTCCAAAATTGATTGGACCTAGGGCATAATACTTACAAACTCCCACTTGCACTAGATCCAATCACTTATGCATCCAATATCATAAGTCTACATGACGATCATGTTTATACTACGACAACTCTTTGTTAGTGGATCTGCAATATTGTTAAATGTGGGAACTTGTTATTCTCTTTACGTTATTTCTATGTATTATCTCTTTGATGAGATTATACCGCCTTAATACATGTTTGGATCATTGATGAGACCTTAGTTCATTCGC